CTGACGGTGAGCTGGGAGCGCCCCCCCGGTGAGCTGGACGGTTTCCGGCTGCAGCTCCTGGACCAGGCGGGCGCCGCCGCGCTGCTCAACCAATCGCTGGCGGCCTCCAGCCGGCGCCACCGATTGGACGGCCTGACCTCGGGGCGCTGGTACCGCGTCCGGATGCTGACCGTGAGCGGCGGCGTGCCCTCGCTGCTCGCCGCCACCGCCGAGGGACAAACGCGTGAGTGTCTCTGTGTCCGTATCCGAGCGTCCGAGGGGGGAATTGAATTGAATTGAATTGAATTGAAAGCCTTTATTGTCATTGTACACAGTACAATGAGATTTGGAGAGCAGCTCTGTAAAGTGGACACATAAATAACACATACATATACAATACATTAGTGCAACTGGAGTACTGGTACTAGTACTAGTTTAGATGTTGATTGTGTAAGGTGACAGGTTTGGGGAAGAAGCTATCCCTGAGTCTGTTTGTTTAGGCTCATCTGGTGGTTCCTCCCTCAGGCCCGGCCGCGGTGGGGAATCTGACCGTCTCCTGGACCAACACGTCCTCCCTCAGCTTCTCCTGGCGCCCGTCTGACGGACACGTGGACGTCTACAACCTGTCGCTGTTCAGCGTCGCCGCGGCGACGGCCGGCGATGGAGCCCACAGACCGGTGGGAAGCAGAGCCTTAATTTGGGCAAACACTGTGCGATTTCTGCCCCTTTTTTACACTATTTTTAGCTCCTGTGTGAATTTCTAGGATCAATTTTCAGCTCCTGGTGTTTCACATGGTGTCGTATAGTAGACTGGTCCTTTACTGATATCTGGATCGGATCGGCCGCCAATATTTGCAAAAAACTGCGTATCGGCCAGCAGGAGAAAATGCAGATCCAGACTACTAGTTTAAAGCCCCCCAAACAGCTTTAAAATCCCTGAAATAGTTTTAAAGCCCAAAAAAAACATTTTAAACCCCCCCCAAAAAACTTTAAAAGTTACAAAAAGAGGTTTTAAATCCCCCTAAACCGCTTTAAAAGCCACAAAAAGAAGGTTTTAAATCCCCCTAAACAGCTTTAAAAGCCTCAAGACAGTTTACAACCCCAGTAAACGGCTTTAAAAACCCCCAAAATGGCTGTAAAAGCTTCTGGACTAGTCGGTCCCGATCCCATATCTGGATCGGATCGGCCGCCAATATTTGCAAAAAACTGCGTATCGGCCAGCAGGAGAACATGCAGATCCAGACTCCAGATCCAGTTTTCTTTAAAGTCTGATGTCCCACACCAGCATTAGCATTAGCATCTGTAACCCACAGGTCTGTGTCCTAACCATTAAGTTGTTATCAGAGTAAATCCCTGTTCTGTCTGACAACTAAGTAAGTAGATAAATAACTTTAGACTTTAACACATGCTCTGATAGGCCGGGATCGGATCGGAAATGAAAAAAGCTGGATCACATCCCTGGTATAATCACTTTCTTAATTTCTCAATTGAAGATTTAAAGGTTCTTTCCTCAGACAAAATATGATGAGACCTTCTCTAAGACCTAACAGTCTTTTTTCTGGAGGATTGTCTAATACAGATGGAGGATGAGGACAGACTTTACGTCTTATTTCAGACTCAGAGGGGTTTATTTTTAATTGCAAATGTATTTTTTAAAGAACTGTATACGTTTATTTATCAATTAATTTGTTATCTCTCCTCAAAGATCCGCCTCAAAGAGGCTGGTCTTCCTTCCTCTGTTTCAGCCGTTTATCTTTTCTTCTACTTGTATTAAGTTGTTCTTGTCTTCGTCTGTGTTAGTCATGCTTTTTGTTTTCTTTGGGTCAGACAATAATAATCCACAAGAATGTTTTACCTTGTTACAAGGTAAAACATTCTTGTGGATTATTATTGTACCTTGTTA